GCTCGTGCACAGCCCTTCCTCCACAAGGCTCAGCCACTGGACGGGACCGCAGGGACTCATTTGGCTCATTAGGAAAGGCAGGGAGATGTGCGTTAGAGCAGCCTCAGCATCTGTGGGGCCTTTTTTTGGCCAGGTGAGCAGAGCCCAGTGCCCAGGCTTGGCAGCACCCACCCGTCTGGGAGAGCCAAATCGTTCTGGAAGGTAATTGCAGGCAGTGCCGGGAGCTGCCAGGCAGCAGGCGGGAAAGGGCTCGTCTGGCTGCGGTGGGCGATGCTGCTTTTTTTGGCACCGTGCCTTGTTTCTTTCCAAACTTTATGTATTTTAGTTGCAGTGTAGGTTTTGCAGAGAAATGCCAGAAAAAAAAAACCTACCTCTGTGATTAAACAAGCTGCTCGGTGGGGAGGAGGCAGCTGTGCTCGTGGCATGCTTTGCTGCGGGTGGCGGGGGGGCTTGTGCCCGGGGCATTTTTTCAGCCGTTTTTTCGGCCACGGGGTGCCTGGAGCAGTCGGTGGCTTTGTCTGTGCCATCAGCTTGATGAGCTTCCTCCGGACCCGGGCTGCGGGGGGCTGAAGTCCCTTCCCTGGGGTCATCTCTGCTCCATCCCGCAGCCGGGCAGGTGGGCTGGCCCCCCGTGTTTGCGAACAGGACGCATGCATCTTCCTCTCCCTTTCCCCTTCCTCTTGCTCGTTCCTTCTCCCCCTCTTTACTTTCTTTTTTCGTCTCCTCCCATCTGTCCTTCTCACATCAGGCTATTTTAGGGGATGAGTTTCTCACTGTCAATATGGTAGGAACCGTGGTGCAGCTCATGTCTTAGAGGATGAACACCGCTTCGGGAAGCCTTCCCAAGCGGTTACCTTGCTTGGTTCATCTTAATCCCCCGTACCTTGCCCCTATCTTGGAGGCATTTTGAGACCAGGAGCTAAAGGGCACAAAATCTGATGGCTCAATCTGAGGACTTCATCTCAGAGCCGGAGGAGAGAGCTGTCAGATTTCGTGCCCTTTAGCTCCCGGTCTCAAAGCACCTCTGAGCCTTGCAAGTGGTTATTAAGCAGCCTGAAGCTGAGCGTGGCGTTGGCAGGTCATGACTTGTGTCTTCACAACTTCCAGGGGCTTTTAGTCAAGGCGGGATCATTTCTTTTTTTTTTTACTTGAAAGTAATAGAAACTGCAGAACCAGAAGGGAATTTTTAATACCCTTCATTTACCAAAATACCTCCCAGAAAAATTAGGAGGCAGTGGCGAAGGCGCAGAGCTGCAAGGGAGTTTCCTGGGAGGGAGCGGATCTCTGTGCGAGCACACAACTTCCAGGGGCTTTTAGTCAAGGCGGGATCATTTCTTTTTTTTTTTACTTGAAAGTAATAGAAACTGCAGAACCAGAAGGGAATTTTTAATACCCTTCATTTACCAAAATACCTCCCAGAAAAATTAGGAGGCAGTGGCGAAGGCGCAGAGCTGCAAGGGAGTTTCCTGGGAGGGAGCGGATCTCTGTGCAAGCTCAGCAGAGCTGCTGCCGTGCTTTGCTGCTCTCTCCTCCATCTCAGCATCTTCGAACACTTGAAACACAAAGTCTTTAGCCTCAAATTATCTGCATGAGACATATGAGCTAAATGTACATAAGCAAGGTTTATTAGCTGCCTTTTGTTCTAATGATGAACACACCGTTGTCTCTTCAGCTTCTAATAAAACCCTTCCAGCTAGCAGAGGGCTGCAGCTCGAAACGCCGTGACAGACTTGTCTCTGTAGCAGCAAAGTTTCTTCCCCCTCTGCTCCTCTCCTTTCTCTCGCCCTTCCCTGCTCTGCCCCTCTCTCTGGGGGATGCTGCTTGTGCCAGCCGGGAGCTCAGTGTCGGGATTTAAGGGTTGGCAGTGCCAGGACGAGGGGCCTTGGCTTCCCCTGGCCGGGTACAGCTCTTCTGCCCCAGACCCTGGACTGCGGAGGGGAGCGCGGGTCGGGCTCACCCCTGGTGCCGTGGTCACCTTCCGTGGTAGGAATGAGACCAGTCCAGGTTTGTCTGCACAGGGATACTCAGGGAGACAGATCTGGATGAAGTAAAAGAGTGAATTTAAAGTAGATTATCTAAAACACATTAAAGCCCAGTGTAACCTTGCTGACTCAGTTAAATGGCTTTAATTCTGTCTGTTATAAATCTGATCTTTCCTTAAGTCAGACTGTGCACAAAAGCGTTCCTGCCGCTCGCTGATCCCCTCCAGCAGCTACCTTGGGTTAATGTTCAGAGTCCGCGATGGCCGGGGCAGTTCGTGAGGGGCAGCACGGGGGTTTGCTCGCGCAGCCCTCCTCGAGCTGGGTCAGCAGCTCTGCTCGGGTCGGGGCTGCTCACCGGAGCTGGGCACGAAACCCAGGTGCCCTGGCGGGGTGCTCTGAGGGGGGGAGCGGGGCCGGCTCGGCCACGGGGCAGTGCTGGGCATCCCCTGCGCCCGTCCGTCCTTCCTTCTCCCTGCAGAAACCGTGGCCTTTCTGTGGTAAACCAAACTCTCCAAGTTGAAACTTTTATAAACTTTTGGGGGTCTGGGAAACAACCCTTTTCAGATGAGAACTGAAGTGGTTTTTAGTTTTCTTAAGAAGATTTCCATATTTTCCGAGCAGTTAGACTGTTTATGAGAACTCGGGTGCCTGGTGGGAAGGAGAGGTTCCAGTGTGACATCTCAGGGTCACTTCTTCCCGCTGTGATCGGCACGAAGCAGTTCATTCCTTTGGAAGCCAAGAGCACCTTTTTGGTATTATTTTATCGCACGTGCTTTAACCACAGCACAGAGTGGCCAAAGCCACTGCTGGGGAGGTTTGTGGTCTGTCCGTCCCTTTGGAGTCCCTTTTATTCATGGTGCCGGTTTATGAGCGAGATGCTGATTTGCCTCACGAGCCCATGGCTTGTCTGCCTGGGGAAGGTCTCCTGGGAACCCTACTGGCTCATCCCGGTGCTCTGGGACCCACGGTGACTTCGGGGTCTGCAGAATCCCACTGAGCTGGGTGATCAAATGTACCAATGGTTTTCAGGAACGTTGTTCCGCCTTGGGGAGCTGCGTCTGAAGTAGGGCTCTGTTCGCACAGCCTTGCCGGTTGCCAGCTGGCAGTATATTAAGTGAAAACCAAATCATTTGCTGTTTCTTTCCCATAAACGGCTCTGCGAGGCATAAAAGGCTCCTGCGCAAAGCCAAATGCGAGCGGAGGGGCTTGAACAGCCCCTGCCGCTAATGTGGGGGAATCCAATTTAGCAGGAAGGCGGCTGAGC